AGGCTGCAGTCACTCTACTTTTCTCATACTGGTTGCTAAAAGGTATTATGCAATTAATCATAATACTTTTACTGAAGCTCATTATTTTTTATTACAAACTTGCTGAAAATTTTTTCCCGTTGATCAAGAAGCTCCGAATGTAATTCCTTGTTTGGTTCCATCCATGCATGGTGGTACCTTGTGACATTTGGCATTCCTAGTTATACAAACGTTATGACGGACGCTCTTGTTGTGATAGAGCTGATATAGATATTTTTTAAAGTTGTGTGTGATAGACAGTTATTTATATTATAAGAAATAAACTACGGTTAGAATGTTTAGTTTATGATTGTTGTCGTAGTCATACACATTTTATTTTTGCTATAGCAACAATTAGAATAGGATAATTGTCAAACCATGTGACAATTTGAAACTTTCTTCACTCTTACGGTTCTGTTGACATTTCTCTTGAAGTCATATTACAGGGTGTCCCAAAGTAGCAGCGATCTTGCTATTTATTACATTTTTACTGACCCATGCATCTTTCATATATTCAACTATCTTAGAACGCTTTGAATTTCAAGCTATTATTTTTGTATCGTGCTTATTTCTTGAATACCCTGTCTTGGACTTCATTTGACTTGATGAGTTGCCTTTTTAAGGTTTTGTTAAGAAGTAGTGTATTGTAGAAACACTTCTTGCGAACTATTGTTTGGAAACTTATAGCTAACGCATTCAAGAAAGTTTATAAGACAAAAAACATGACGTATGATTTGTTATAAATTTCAGTTGTTTCATGTTCTTAAAAATTTGTCAGAGTTGTAAATAATATATTTTTTTAAGAACTTTTGTTATGTTGTATTTAATCGAAAGACATCGAAGCAAAGTGTCGTAAAACCTACTTTGTTGTTATGTATTGCATTAACAGATGAAATTCATATGTTTTTTGTTTGTATTAGTTTGCTTTGGTTAGTGATTCGTACAATAAGAAAGTGCACTTTGAAAGCGTATAGACAATAGCATGGAAAGGGGAGAGGGGCGTTTTTCTCCATTGCTTTTTTCTAACTACGCTCCTAACTACCTAAAAGAAAAATATATTTCCCTTTAAAGGAACAATTGCTTCGTCAAGAGTTTTGATCTTTTTTCCTTCATTTTTTTACCTGCTTTCATGAATTAAAGAAAAACATGCGTATTCAAGAATCGTAAATCCACATGTTTTCTGCAAATCATACAATCATATTTCGCGGCCGGCACATATGCTTATCACTTTTAGTTTGCCGATTACAATTCCCCACCACTTGCGGTAAAAACTTTCAATATCTTTGCCAAGTAAGTTTTGAGTGTTCCCAAATGAATGTAAGCACTTATTTAAAGTAACAGTAGGCAGTATTGCGGCCTGGCTATTTACTCCTAAAATCAAAATACTTTTGCACAGAAAAAGTAGTGAATGAAATTTATAAAAAAATATTATAAATGCGCAAGAAAATATACATAGTCTTGAGTAAAAATTTTGGGCTGCCATTAATGATGTAACAGAAAAAAGCTGTAAACATTTGCCGCAAGTAATTATTGCCGAGAAACTGTAATTGATAGCATTCACAGAATTATTATAAATTAGCAACGCGTACGCTGATTGTTCTAGAGCTGGGGGTTTCATTAGCCTGTGCAAACCAATCGAGGCAAGATAGAATTAAATCAATCATGAATACATGTTCAAGAAAATATTAAAACGTTTGTCTTAAATTTATCGGTTTCGGATTATTGTTATTTTATAAGAGAAATAAAAGATGTTTTTCGTGTTTGCACTGGAGACGTTTATGAGAACTCTTTAGCATATACCCTTACTATATACCTACGTCGGGTCGGACCATTGAATTTTTTAGTTTGTTTTTAAAAAATGCATACAAAAAAAGGTTTATTGAAAAGTGGTGAGCAGGTCAAACATCGCACTGCATAAAACATTCATACGACATTCCTTTCACGAGAAAACATGAGACCAACAATATTGACCTGCTCACCAATGTGTGACTTCATAGCTCAGTTGGTCAGAGCACTGCACCGGCAACGCAGAGGTCATGGGTTCGAATCCCGTTGAGTCACCTGATTTTTTCAGGTCATGAGACGATTGCTTAAATTGTCCAGCAAAGTGCGAAGATCATATCTTCATTCAATTTCAAACACCGCACTGCATAAAACATTCACACGACATTCCTTTCACGAGAAAACATGAGCCCAACAATATTGACCTTCTCACCACTGTGTGACTTCATAGCTCAGTTGGTCAGAGCACTGCACCGGCACTGCAGAGGTCATGGGTTCGAATCCCGTTGAGTCACCTGATTTTTTCAGGTCCTGAGACGATTGCTTAAATTGTCCAGCAGTGCGAAGATCATATCTTCATTTAATTTCAAACACCGCACTGCAGAAAACATTCATAAGAAAAGAGTATTTTGGGCAAAAATGAGGCTCATTTTTAAAGGATTTTCTTTTCTCCCTACAATCGCCCTACATTCTACAGTTTTTCCCGTAGGTTTCAACTACCACCTACAAACCACTAAATTCCCCTACTGTAGGGGATTTCCCCTACGAGTGGCAGCACTCAACAAAACCCTACTTCACTTCCTATACATTGATCCGACAATTTTTTTGCTGGAGCATGTTGCATTGGAAAGCTTTAAACAATTATCCTTTTGCTACAATAGACTAACTCAAAAAACCTATAATTTATTTGTTTAGAACACAATTGATACATTTGATACAGTATGATACATTTACAATCATACTTCATTATTTAAAAACACCCATGTAATCAACTTCAGCTTTTACAAATTAAATCCAAATTTTAGATGAAAGTAGGTTGATAGAATTTGAGTTATTACAACTTTTCTCAAAAAAGTTGAAGATGCAGAGTTTACAGGAACATTAATAACATATGGAAAAGATAAAAACTGAGGAATTCATCAAGAAAAATCACTGACAGTGCCAGTAAAGTGAAATATCAAACATTAGAGCTAAAATATGGTTGCCGAAATTACATACAGAAATCTGCCACGGCTCCTATATCGGGGAAACTGGCAGGAACTTAAACATAAGACTTACTGAACACAAACGAGATTCAAAGAAACAAGACAAAACTAATCACATTGCCGAACAGTACCGACTCACAAAGCACAACATTGACTGGGACTCGGCAAAATGCATTACTTACAGTACTGACTATAGGCAACGGCTTACATTAGAAAGTTGGTATACCAACTTGGAACAAACCCGCTGGCAAACCCCCTTGAACAGATCACAGCCATTACCGGCACCTTACAAACGACTTATTCACAATACAAAACAAACGATCAACTAAAAACATTACACTTCACACTAATCCACAAAGGACAATACAAAATTGACACCCACACATTTCCTGTACACACAATACAATGATGTAGAACTAGATAACAAATACGGCTAACCTGACGTTAACTCCTCATTTGACTCTGAAGATGACTACCGCTAAGGTTGTCGAAACGTCGGTCAACAACAACAAAAACAGTCCTTCTCAGGACTATACTAACCTAGACGATCTACATCTACAAACATATAATTCTATATTACAAACTAACTGCTTATTGTTTAGTGTAGAATGGCAACCTCATGATTTTAACATATTTATCTATATCATCATATAACAAAATTATGACCTAGCCAGCAATTGCATATGTACTAACTGGACTGCTAACTGCAAATTATTAATAGATTAATTTATAATTTTGATGTGCCAGTATCTCGATCGAATAAAATCAAAATCATATTGCTTTAGGATTTTTACCATAGGCAATTGCCTTAGGTGCCTACCCCTAGATCCACCCCTGGTAACTGTAAGCTTCACTTATAGACTATAATCCTTAACTGTCCAACTAAATCTTGCGCATCAAATTACGCGTCAGTCAAAGTAATTAATCATGCATAAATTAATGTCTTTTACTAAATATTTATAATCTGTGCAGATTGTCAATAATCCAATGTATATTTTTGAGACATCCGTCGATTTCACTCATGTATATCCTCACCTATTTCCACAAACCTTTTGATGCGTCCTACAGTATGGATAACGTCACTTAAGTGATCAGCGCGCAATCTTTTTAAAAAACCTGTTGGTGGAAATATAGTTAGTTGAACTTCGAATGGTTCATCTGACAGTAAAATCACCGTAAATAAACATTTTTAGGGAGAAAGATATAATTGTGTTACCAAGAAGCAGCCGCGGGCACAGGGTCTTCATCAGCTGGGGGGAAATTAAGGGGCAAAGAGATGTTTGGGGGGGGGGCAAGAATATAAAATTGACTGTATCCGATTTCGTAGATTTAAGTTCGCTACACGAATATTGTTAAATGTCTTATGAATGAATGGTTTAAGTTTTAACATCAAATTTTTAAAGTGCGTTTTAACATCAAACATACAATCATAAAGTTTTCTACTAACGGTTTGAAATGGAACTTTAAAACAATGCACCTATTTGGAAATTTTTGAATAAACCTGTCAACAACTAGTTCTAAACCAGTGTTCATCGTTGCTCGTTTCCTGAGAATTCTGATAATTAACAAATGTTTAAGTCTTGAATTGTCATGGTCGTTCTGTGATAATTCTTTCTCAGTTTCAACTTGGCAAGCGACCTTTCGCAGCCCTGCAGTGCTTACTGGTAGACTGATGGCAATTCTAGTGACCTTAAGAAGTTCAACTTTTGTACTCCGTTTTACTCTCAGAGATTGAAAGTGAAAACACAAAACTTACCCTCTGGAAAGTGTAATTCAAATGCAATAAGCACGAATGAACTCTAATATCAAATGAACTCTAATATCAACTATAATATCATTTGCGGTACAAAAAATCAAAGTATTATAAGCTAAATGCAAAATACAATTATCTTGACCTTTTTGACAGAGTGTAGTGGCATAACATTCGATTTTTACCCACAAACACGTGACTTAAGTACGTCCTGTTGATAAAATTTACATCAAAATAATACATATATTTAAGGTACAGCCAGTATACAACATCAAGAGCAGCCTATTTGCCACAAGATCATTCGTGTGGTGTTTCACCCCCTTTCTAATGCCTGTTTCCTTTTTGCTTAATTAGTCTTTGATCGTGCTCAGAGAATTCCAAGAAAAATCAAGAGTACATCGCCAGTACGTATTATAGCACTAACACGTTTCCATGGAGGATTTCATAGATGCTGTTGTGAAATTAAAAGAAGTACGCCTCGATTGACATCGATTTTGGTGAGTTCTTTATTTATTCGTTACTTTATTACGTCATTCATTCAGGCTTGCGTTGTTTCGCTTGAAAGTGTTTGAATTCAAAATTTTTCATCAAATTTTTGTAAGCTTGCGATCGCACTACTTTCTTTTCAATCGTATTTTAAACGCTTTGATTCTAACTAACTGATCACGGATATATTTTCAGAACATCTTATGAATGCTGTTACAAAGCTTCGTTCTCAATTGATTAAAAGCAAGGGAAATACGCATCTTAGTGGTCAATTTGAATGTGTCGATGGTCAGTTGGTGAAAGCATTGAAAGAAGGAGATTGGCTTTTGATCGACAACGTAAACTTTTGTAGGTGAGTATGCTGTACATATATGTATTATGATGTTTAATTGGGGATCAAGTTGTATCAGAGTTGCCATAAACCATGCAGAGAAATAAGGTGTTTTTCATGTTGTTGTAGTGCATCTGTTTTGGATCGTTTAAATGGTCTTCTGGAACCGAATGGAGAATTGAGTATAAACGAACGTGGGATTGTGAAGGATGAGATACCTGTTGTGAAACCCCATCCAAACTTCCGGTGAGAAATTTTTGATGGCATTTATTGTTTATGATCTTTGCTGTAATTTTATTATCGTAATTTGCTGCGTGTTTACAGGTTGATTTTCACCATGGATCCAAAACATGGAAAAATCTCTCGTGCGATGAGGAATAGAGGCGTTGAAATATTTATGCCTTCGAATGTGTACATGCTTTTCCCTTGTTGATGTGAATGAAAATGTACTTATATATGTACATGTATGTACTTATTTATGCCTTCGAAGGTGCACATTCTTTTCCCTTGTTGATATGAAGGAAAATGTACTCATACGTACATGTATGTACTTATTTATGCCTTCGAAGGTGTACATGCTTTTCCATTTTTGATATGAATGAAAATGTACTTATACGTACATGTATGTACTTACTTACACCATTTTTGAAAGTAATGTTAGTGTTTAAATAGACTTAACGACTGCATAGGAAACTGGCAGTAAAACTTTGCTTACAGAAAAGGGTAAATGAAATGGTATATAAACAATTAGTCTCTACTCTTGTATAGTTCCTGCTTATTTCACATTTGCTAAATGCTTAAATAATTTGTTTCTTTCAGTTGTGTGATGCTAGTGATCTTTGCAGTATGTTGAATGCGTCAGGATGCAAACATCCTTCGACGATGGCCGTATTTTCAAGATATTACTACGAACAGGAAGAAGGTATTTTAAGAAGTGTTTTCCCTTTAGCGAAAGTTGATATTTATTATTAACCATTTGACTTAATGGCTTGCTTTAGACACGCTTGTCCAGACTATACACGCTGCATCTCTTACCACCGAACTCTATCAAAGAGGACTGGAACGAGATAAATCAATTGTCATGTCGTTAATGCACGCTGTTGGTTACACTAATGTGGACCTCTCTTTGGTAAAATCTTAATAAATACATTATCATACTTTAACATACATTTACTGTTTCAGTTGTATCCAGTGAACTATATAATACTTGGAACGCTATACAAAAGTCTAATAGTTTTTTGAAGCCAAATCTTACACCCAGACACGCGTGTGTATTCAATCAATTTTCACTCCGCCAGAGAATCTCGAAACAAAATACACGCGTGTCTGGATCTAAGATTGGGCTTCAAATATTTGCTTTAGGTAGCGTTCCATGTATTTTAGTTGAATGGTTTTACCTCACTGGTTTTTAATCTCTACTTTAAAAAGACGTTCAACTACATATGTTTGATTGTATTCAACTTCAAATGTTTTTTAGCTTAGTTCAAGAATTGGACTTTTTGAATTTCCTTGCAGCTGTCAAATGAAGAGATAATGAAAAGATAATGAAAAGGTTTCATTTGTCTCGAGAGTCCTTCTGGAATCGATTTTCAGAAAAAATCTGTTCATTCTATGATCGTCTGGCATTTTGATGCATTGAGACGAATTTTGAATGATGCAAGAAATACTTATAAAGACAGTACTTTGGCCATTTCTCTCTTTCTGGAGTGGTGTTGTATAGGAGACTGGAGAATGGGATTGCAATGGTTGAAATGTTCATTACCTGGTTTGCTACAGGATCATGTGTCAACGACAGAAGTCCAGAAGGCAGAATATTTTCTTGAACGTTTATTTGGTAGCAATGCTTGTAAAGCACTGTTCGACTTTTTCACATTAATGGCTGGTGAATTTAAAGGTACGTTTTTCTTTTTATATTTTTGTTGTATTTGAAGTATAATGCTGTTATGTATACGAAGATCTTAAAGATATGTAGTCGTTAGCAAGTTGTTTGCTCTGTCGTCCAATTGATCGTAATAAAGTAAATGGTTTGAACCGGGAGCATAGTTACATGTTTGCAAACGTTTTTGATGAGTACCACACGTCAAATGCCAAACTCATGCAGAAAATGTTCAATGAGGAAATGTTTAATTTTGGTGCATTCGCCATTCTCAAATGTGATTTATTGCATTCTCGTTTCTTGAGCATTGCTTTTCTTCTTGTAAGATTAAGGTTAGAACCGCATATTTAACCAAAAGTTTGTGCGTGAAAGCAATTAGTGCAGTACATTGTAATGTAACAGTATCAAGTGTTGTTTGCGGTAACGATGTCATAAATAAATCAAAACTTCTCTAAGAACACAACGGACAATGAAATCTTAAACAATGCAATATTAAAGATGTTGTCAAGATGGCTGACGTAGAAGCAACAATATGATATAATTCGTTCTGATGTGCATGCAATTATGTCAAATGTAGTAATACAAGCCTATAACGTGGAGATAGGATTTTGATTGTTTTTCAAATAGAAACATAGTTGCCTCGGCAATATTTATGAGTTAATCTCGGCAAACACTGTCGACTATGCACAACGGAAAATATCAGAAGTGGAAACAAACGAAACAAATTAAGACGAACTTTACAATAAAGTAAATGGTTTGAATCTGAAGATGACGTTAACTCCTCATTTGACTCTGAAGATGACTACCGCTAAGGTTGTCGAAACGTCAGTCAACAACAACAGAAACAGTCCGTCTCAGGACTATACCAACCTGGACGATCTACATTTACAATCATGCAAAACCGTACACACAAGAATACAGGGGAATTTTAGTGTGTAAAAAACGATAAACACCCCTTAGTAGCTATATGTACAGCGAAATAACAATATCTGCACAACAAATGAAACTGTACATTCATTTATAGCAAAATAACAATAACTACACAACTATAAACAATCCGAACTATGAACATATGAAATTTTCCTGGATGCATACGCAATTGTATGAACAAATTTTCAAGAACGTCCGTCTGTTTTGTAGAAGTTCCTTTTCTTTTCTAGTAAAGTTTTTATGATTTAAATTTCCCTTTTTGGTTTGCAATACAGCAATAGTTTAGCCTTACAGAACGTCTAACACGACAAGTCATTTATTGATTGCCAAGCTTGTATGGACTTTAAGTGAACAAAAACGAAAAAAAAACATCATTCATGTAACCGCCAGTAAATAAATAATGAACTCAGCTGAAAAGCAGCATTCTTTGCTAATTGGACATTTCTTCTTTCAGTGTCTCTCAATTTAGGCCAATCTGTCAGTGACATAAATCCACGGACTCTATTAAAACGAAGCAACAAAAATGAGCATTAGTAACATTTAACAACGCATCCTTTTTCACACGCTATTTAGCAACAGTAGCTACTATACACTAGCTTAACAAGTTCAATAGGATGAACGCTAAGTATGTTCACTTATTTTTAAAAGTCTATCTACAACGCTTTGATAAAACTTCCCGTCAGCCTTGTCGAAATATTAGCGATCATATCGGATCAACTGAAATAATTTTAGGTACATGTTGTGTTATAAAGACTTATTATTTGATTACACGAAGCTTATTCTACTACTATCTTTTTGTATTTCGATAGTTCCTATGGCATTTTCAAGGTCACATTTAACCGTTGCGCAGAAAAACCGTTAACAATGATTTAGCCGAGTTTATTTCTATCTTACGTCAGGCCTGGGCAGACAAAAACCGTATGACTGAAATTATAAAGTACATGAGCTATAGCTATGGCAAGATGAAATAGCAATTCAGAGTAATCATCTCCAGTCAAGAGTGTGGACCGTCATGCCAGGCGCGCCAAATTAATCGCGGTTGCTACAATTCAACTTTCGTCTGTAGATTTACATGACTGGGCGAAACATGACACCTCTGAAAAATGTTTAACCAAAAAAGATGGTTAATCACGTATGATCACTTAGCAGAACAGAGAGATACCTGAATATTATGCATGTCATTAAAGGATGAAATATCTTTGGATGTCATAAGCCCTCTAATTATCAATCAATCATTTCAAGATGGCGTCTGAATTCTAAGCTTTCGCGATTACGCTTACCACAAAATTTTTAGATATCGATATGATAATGAAAAATAGGTACGCTAAGCGTACACGTGTCTGCGAAACGACATGTCTTCAATATAAGAACAGCATTTTTACCGCCCTCTCTATTCTTATGCAGCATACTCGAGTATATTCTCGTCCGTTTGATTTGAAATTACATGAAGCAGAGTTGCTAACTTTTGGTATAAAGAAAAGTGAAATACAGTTACTCGATAAAAATACTTTTATCTTCCAATGCACATGTCTGAACACACTTTAATAATTCATGACCCCTTTTGAAAATTCTTGTAAACCACGACGATATTCTTGGATTACTTACAGCATATCGTTAAAACATCATGTAGGACGGAGAGAGAGAGAAGGAAAATGACCGTCGCTTTTAATTTTGAACATGTTCTTCAACTTTAACTAAAGATTTACACAGATGGGCTTTTATATAAAACAATAACGCGTGTTCTGCATTCTTGGGTAAACTAAAAAAGGTATGAAAAATTTGATATCCAACGTGATATTCATCGAATTAATCCTCCAGTAAAATTTTCTTGGACTCGGATGCAACTCTGATGAATATGCTCGTGTTAGGTTGGTCGATTTTTAACAATAGTCTATTTCATGTTTTAGCAGTTATATCGTAGGTATCAAAAAGGATGATTAAAAGTGCAGCTTTTGTCCACTTAGACTACGTTTACACTACTCCGGATCGATCTGAAGACAGCGCAAAAAAGTAACAGAACCGGGTTCCGTTTATACTGCATTGGAGCGGAGTTGTTTGAAAACGTTACTTTTTCCGGAGCGTTATGACCACACTTTCTAAACGTGGTCGAACGAAAACGGAACGCTAAGCATTGCCATGTAAACAGCAAACCGTTAATATTTCGCTACACTTTAGATACCATTTCTCTTTAATTTGTCCCGTGTGGTAGCGCATAGTTGAAAATGGGGAACATTTTATGTTTTGGAAAGCTTTTAATGACTGGTGTCGTTGTAATTATTAGAAATCATTGTTTTGACCAATAAACATCTAGCAATATGAAAATAAGAAATGGCGCCATCTTTCACAAACAACTAACGAATTTTGACAGCGGAATTTAAACGTGTAAAAGCAGTCAAATTTTGCCGTCACCTTTTCGCTCCGGCGTAGTGTAAACGTAGTCTTAGTATATTTAAACGCTTACAAATCATTGTCGAAGATTGAATCATACCTGCTTATGTACTCAAACAGTGATTTTCATAACTCGCTTAACGATTTCTTCTATTTTCTTTCCTCTAAAACCTTTATCTCCGAAAGTCACCTTGGCTACCTTTAACAACTGGACCAGTTCCTCTCTAAGACAGTCAATTACTTATTGTCGATATAAATAATTTCGAAACAAAATTGAAATGCTTGCGATGAAAAAGGGCTATCGTATGAAAAAATGGTTGTTTTCTTGCCTCGTTTTCGACGGAAATGTCTGCGACAGTTTGTTCATCAACAGTACAAAGGGACTTGAGTCATCTTTTGTCCGTGCCATGTTATCAATATTTTCTCTCCTCGTCTTTATGTGGGACTATATGAAATAAAAAAGTGACGTAGGTGAACAATTGATATTCAAGGAATTGATAAGAAATCCAGAAGGATTCACAACATAGTTGATTTGGAGTGTTTGTTTAGGCAGTATTAGATTTGCTTTGACTTTTCACGACATGCTGTTGGGTCAAGGAGCTAAAAAACGAGTCGAACTTTTGATGAAAGTATGGATTGTATAGCAAATTGGGCCAGACATATGCTCAGTAGTGATTTGAAAAAAAATTGACACGGCCTTCTGTACTAATTTTACTTGGCTGATCAACATCTAATTAATTTAGAGATTTAATCTTGTTGCTCGTATCTAAGAATGAAAAATTAGCAAGCTATTTTCACAATTCGTCGATTTATGCTATTTGTGAAGAATGAATTGGATTTATTCATCAGTTCCCATTTTTTCATGTTGAGCAGTATCTTCTTTTGGCTTTTGTTCTAACTTATGGTAAAACACCATTAGAGAATTGGCTAGTTAATTTGCAATTCATATATGCTTCATGTCAATGCCGGATTAAGGGGTGGACATAATAGATCAAGGTCCTTGGCCAAAACACCAACAAAACAAGAGAAAAGAGATCGCCCACCTGATTAGTCAAATTGCTTACTGATAATACAAGTGACGACAACAGGACAAATAGTCCAATGTCTGTAATAACAATGGACTAATGGTGTCAGTTTTGAAAACATGTACGCCTTTTTATACAAAAAAAATCATTGATAAATAAAAAGAAAAAGTATGTTTACTTCGTAATCAATAAGAGGCATGACGGATGTGTTCGGAAGCGGTATCGTAGTTATCTTTTGCACCATTTTACCAAGTTCTTCTCGATATTTCATTTTGGAATCACCAGAAAATGACCACAATAAACTGTAAACTAGATAGCGAGGTAGATATTTTTCTAGCTGATCACGCTGAAAAAGTAATTAATATAGCTTTTAATGAACTAAATACTATAATTTGTGTAACTTCATATTAGCTAAAATCTTCCATCAATTATACTATACCTCCATTGGGAAATCAGAGTGTTGTTGATTATACGCAATTACATTGCGAACAGCTTGTTTAAACATCGAGAATGACGCCCTCAATCGAGTGAACCTAAGAAAACGTCATAAAAACAGATCAAATAAAAAACTTGAAGAAAAATTTTTTGTAAATTTATTACTCTTTGAATGCACTAAAAATATACAACAATCAACTTGTATAGCAACAAAACAAAAAACTTTTCATTGGTAAAAAGTTTAAGTTCTGTCGTTTTGTTAAAATTTGTGTGCAAAATAGCAAAAATTTATTTTGCTAAATTTCTATTTTCTAGGCACTCGAGTATTAAAAAAGGGAAAAACACTTTAATCCACAAATCAAAGACAAAACTAAACATAAAAAACATTATGATAAACACTGTTAAACGAGCCTGCATAGCTGGAGACAACACGTTTTCTTCCGTTTTTCTGCTCTGTTTTCTCAAAGTGATGTCCTCTTCGATCTCCTCTATTGGCTTGGCCTTCAACTCACTCAGGAAATTATCAAAAATCATTTCTGTTGATACGATATCTTCACTAAACCACACCATTCCACATCTACTGACAGTTGCCAATGTAGCGTAACGCAAGTCTTGCACTTCAAACATTATACGTACCTATAAACAACGAAAAAACTTCGAGATAAACAGATTCCAGAATCTTCATTAAGTTATCAACGAAAGTTTTCGAAAAAGTTCAAAGTTTCACTCTTTACTCAACGTAATTTGAAGAAAATACACAAAGGCGGGGCGCTCTATTAATATGGGCAATAGTAGCTAAATTAAGAAACAATAAAAATATTAAAATATTTTCATATTAAAATATTTTCTTTCCTAGAAATATTTTCATACAGTGGTATATTTAAGCTATCGAAAAAAGGTACAAATTATTCAAATACGAGAATAAAAAAACCCAGTGAAGCCAGCCCACAACATTTAAACGTAAACCATGCCATGAATAAAAAGCAGATAAGACAAACTTACATTCCGTGGAATTCCCAATCTCTCACCGTTAGGTAGAGTTAAACGTTTATTGTCATCAAGAACACTGTTTAGATTTTCCACCCATTCAGGGTCAACATCGCCATCAAATATGATCCACTGACGTTTGCTCAATTCACCACGAACATTATCTATGATCCTCAAAAATGAGACAACATAACATCATTTATTGTTATACATGTTATTACTTTTTTTTTACAATGATTTTGCTTACTTTCTTAAGAAATGTGTGAATAAGCCATCACTCCATTCTCGAGTGTTGGGATTAAGTGTACCATAAAGTTCATCTTTAGACATGGCCTAGAAGCATAACAATACAGAGTTTATAATTCTATACAAACATACATTAACGATACAATACATTAAACTACTCAAGAATACTACATATGATAGTTTCACAACAATAAAACATATTATGCATTCTTCAACAGGACAATCATGAGCGTTCCTTCACTTACAAGGTGAACTTGTCGACCAACTAGTTTTAAATTCAAATCAATTGTTTAATATTTAAAAGGAGAGCGTTGTAAAGATTCAACAAAACGACAATACTGCACATCCGCAATAATAAAAATTCAATTCTTTTAATTTGTCTACATCTGTCTCAACATTTGTCTGGTAGATGATAAAAGGAGCCAAGCAAGATACACAACATCAAATTAAAACATTTCAAATTTTTGGGAGAAGATTTTGACTTACCTTGGGATTAATGACATGGGCAACACCTTCAACACCTTCCAATCTTTCTAAAGCTTTAAGAAGAACTCGCCATGCTGTGCTCTTCCCACTGCCACTTGGCCCAACCATCATTAAGCCATGGTGAATCAAACTTATCTGATATAACTGAAGTATCTACGTAAAAAAAAAACAACAAAGGTTGAAAGAATATAGGACATACGTCTTCAATAATGACAACAATGAAGACATCAGAATACTATTATAGCGGATAGTTGTTTTACATCTTTTTTATTTCCAGAGGTGTTCATTGCAGACGCAACTAATAAATATACTTCATTTAGTACATTATAAAAATTTATGTAGTTACAATCCTTACCTTATCCACCCATGCGGTTCCTTCATCCTCACCGTCACCAAAAGTGAGAAACATTTCAGCACAAACTTTCTTAATTTCTTCTTTCAAATTAATCATTTCAACGCCCATATACTTAACTCCAGGGAAGACATCAGACAACAAACTATGCAACAAAGGAATGTCTTCAGCAACCAATTTGGGAACCACAGTTTCAAAAACACTTTGAATAAGGATCTGGAAGAAATTTACAAGACAAAAAATTAAAAAATCCTGGTAATTCAAAGACGTGCATAGTGTAGTCCTAAAAACTATGCAAATTTTTCATTTGAACACCAGAGTGAAAGATGATCGCAAAAAAGTTCAATTTTAGCAATATCCTTGAAGTAATATAAAAAAAACCCAATAAAACAGATAACCATTACATAACATTCACTTACTTGCTGTTCATCTTATCCATCGGATATTGAAGCTTCATCAACATCTTCACCTTTGGCCTTAAGTTCTTCTTTAACTTTTGATATTTTGTCTCGTTTCACATTACCGGCACTGATCAATACACTCTTCAACCCACGAAGACCAAAATCGTAATGAGATTGACTTGAAAGTTGCTCTAAACAAAGCCTGAATATAAAACAAATTATGTGACTTAGTTTATCAAAACCAACCGCATAATTCATTAACAATTCATGTAGGCAATTCTTAGAATACCAACCAAGCAGACCTGGGTAAATTTATTTAATTATTCGTTAACATCACTTAAGCAATCGTCAAATACACTTACTTGAAGAACGGTACAATCTTGCTGGACCAATTTTTCAGCCATCCTAAATCCTTGTGAATAAAGCATAACTTGTGCAATAAGCTGTCTGTCAGGACTAGTCATTGCCAGACTACGGAATAATTTCTTCAAGTTATCAGGTAGATTAGATCGTCCTGCATAACCTGGATTCATTGTCACAAAGATGGCCATATCACGAATCACTTTCACTTGTTTGCTCACCAATTCAATAGAAATATGAGAATCTAAAAAAAAGTATTTTATATACCGAAACACAACTTCCGAAAAACAAGTCATCTTTAGATAGCAAAATACAAGACGCAAAATAAAACGCTTAGAACATGATTAATTGCAACGCTAATTAATTGCAACGCTAATTAATTGCAACGCTTAGAACATGATTAATTGCAGCGTTAATTAACATGATTAATTGCAACGCTTAGAACATGATTAATTGCAACGCTTACAACGCTAATTCTATGATTAATTGCATAATAATTGGTCAGGAGACAGTGGCGATGTTCTATTTTCACCGCGAATCGGAAAGTCGACTTCGCCAACCGCAATACCGAGGAGGCATCGGGTGAGAGACGGTCGAATCTGCATCGATTGCGGTGAAGCCACAGATGGTGTCTGACAATGCCCAGAATGGCATTTACGGCAGCGGGGTCTTCTTTGCCTCCGGGAATCCGAAGAGGATGGTGGAGATGGAAAGGGGAGTTGGTATGTCCAAGGACACCAGAAGAGGGGTCAGCCAGGTCCAAATAGTCTTGGCGACGGTGCAAGTACAGAAGAGATGAAGAGCAGTCTCGATCTCTCCGCAAAAACAGTTCTCATCCACTCGCATGCCGAACATCAGCAGGCGATCCACCGTGGCAAGGCGGCCATGAAAGTTATAGAAGTTGGTATCCGCGACCGAACGTATAAATCGCCAAAGCCTGAGGGAAAGCCATACAGACGGCCAGTGGACACTAATGTGCATGTCTTCAAATTTCTTCACAGCCTTGTGTGGTGCCAGGGAACATCCCAGTAGCGCGGAATAGGTCCGTCGAGCAGTGAGTTCATCGAGCGGAAAAGGAATGGTGTTATCGATCCCTACCAACCATGTAGAATCGTCTCGTCTGCCTTTCAATTGCATCCATGTATGCGTGACTGACTGATAAAATTTGGGCAGTTTTTTAATTAAGTAGGCAGGAATGTTGCCTCGAGAAAAGAAGGTGTCCAAGTCTTGTTGAAAGATTTCCTGTAATCTTTCATATAGTGTGCGAATAAGGTAGGTCAAGGAACAGTATAACTTGACAGCAGAAGACGGCGAAGCCAAATGGCCCTTAGAGATAAAATCTTGGTTGCAACATGGACCACCCCCAAACCCCCCCTAGGGCGAGGAGCAACGGCAGAGCTGCGTGCGATGGGTTCTTTACGCTTATTCCAAATAAAAGGGAATAGCATTTTATTGATCGAGTGGACCACGGTTTTGGGCATATCAAAAATTGTTGCTCGGTACCAGAAGATACTGAGGCCCAAGGTGTTGGCAAGGAGTGTCCGGCCCTGCAGGGAAAGAGTACGTTTATTCGAAGATGTAAGTTTGATTTTAAATTTGTGGAGAAGTGAGTCCCAATCTGGTGATATATCATTGCCCACACGACAGCCCAAGATAGTTAAGGATTCTGACGTCCATTTTAATGGGATTGGTAAGTCTGTCCTCGATTTCCAGGAACCAAACAGTAGACCTTCCGTTTTATTCAGGTTGAGCTTTGTCCCGGTGGCATTAGCATAACGATGAAAGATATTCCGCAAAGCAAACAAGCTGGTATCATCTATGACAAAACAGGTCGTGTCGTCGGCGTTCTGGAGGATCTTCACGATGTCGCCATCGGGTAGTGGGAAGCCATGAATATCCTGTGACTCCTGTATAGCCCGAGAGAGCGGTTCCGCGGCCAAGATGTACAGCAGGGGCAAAAGGGGACAACCCTGCCTCACTCCCCGGGAAACAGAAAAAGGGCCCCCGAGAGCGCCGTTAATTAAGACTCGTGAATAGATATTAGTATAAAGCAATTGGACCCATTGCCTAAATGAAGACCCAAAATTCATGTGAAGCAAAACTTGATGCAGAAAAGGCCAATCTACCCGGTCAAATGCCTTTTCTTGGTCCATAGAGAGAAGGGCCCCACCAAGATTGCTCGAGTTTGCATAATCCACACTATCCTGTATGAGCCTGACCACTTCACCAGAGAACCTACCAGGAACCCCACACGTCTGGTATGGCGAAGTAACGATATGAATGACTTGGGCCAAGCGGCCCGTTAGCACTTTGGCAAGGATTTTATAGTCCGTGCACAGTAAAGTGATGGGACGCCAGTTTTTCGTGTCGAGTTTGTCGCCCTTTTTATAGAGTAGGGAGATTATTCCTGTCCGTTGAGACAAAGACAGTTTGCCCTTAGCAAACGAGTCGTTCAGCACAGTTACCAAATCGGAACCCAAGCAGTCCCAAAACGTTTTGTAGAATTCATAGGTGAGGCCATCCACCCCGGGTGATTTGTTAGTAGAAAAGGAGTGTAGTGCTGCCGTGCACTCCTCCAATGTAACTTCGCCCTCGCAGAGGGCTGCCTCTGTTGTCGACAGTTTATGAATCACTTTTTGGAGGAAGAAGGTCTGTTCGGCTCCATCAAGGTAGGCTGCGGTAAACAACGTCGTGTAGAAAAGCATCCAAACATACAGCATACCGGATAAGCTCCTTACAGTTCGTCCTTGGACATCGTAAATGCCGTTCATAAAACTACGAATGGCGTGCGATTTCTCTCTTTGAAAAAAATACCTGGAAGAGATCTCGCCTTCCTCAGCCCACTGTTCTCGGGCGCGTATACGCGCTCCAGCCGCTTTTCTTGAATGGTGGTCGTAGAGTTGGTCTTCTAGTTCCCTGATTTTAGCCGAAACGTCTTCTCCACAATTACGTCGTGAGGTAAGAATGTTGAGGTTGTTGTTAAGGGTGTGATAAGTTTTCCGCTGAGAAGAAGCCAAGTCCGCTGCAAAGTCTATAGTAATCTGCTTCAGTAATTGTTTACCAACATCCCACCAGACGGCCAATGAAGGGTAGTAGTGCTGTTCCCTCCTCCAGTCGTTCCAAAAGGTGTTGATGACCTCGACATAGGTCGTATTTTTCGTTAAGGTATGATTAAATTTCCAGCAGCCCGTCCCGCGCTCCGATGCGTTCGGAAGAGAGAAGGAAAGGAAAACGTAGGAGTGATCGCTACGGAAGTAAGGCAGTATAGAGACCTCTCTGACAGATGATACTAAGGAGGAAGATACCCAGAACATGTCGAGTCTGGACCCAACCTGGCCGCCAGCCCGGGACCAAGTATAACAACGCTCATATGGATGACGAGATCTCCATATATCCACTAGCTGCAGGTCGTGAGTAAGCGTGGCCAAGGTGTGTGGCCAATTATACGCCCAAGGCGAGGTTGGGTTGCATCCTGTGCGGTCCATGTGTGGATCGACCACCGTGTTAAAGTCGCCGCCAACGATCGTCGGGAGAGATATCAAGCAATGGGAGGATGGAAGTGAAGAACTCGATGCCCGGGTTCTTCTGGTTAGGCCATAGATGTTGACAAGTTGGAAGGGTATGGAATGAAGAGAGAAGTGGATGACCTGCAACCGACCTTGTGAGTCGGATGAGGAAGAAAGGACAGTGAGGGAAGGGTGATATAGTACGGCAACGTCCCGTGAACGGGTCGTGCCGGGAGAAGAAAGAACCTGGTACTTTGGCTTATTATTGTCATTGTCATTTTCATTTGTAATCCATTGGACAAATTCATCTTGACTTTTTGAATGTGTTTCTTGTAAACACACGATTGTAGGGCTAAAACACGAAAGCCAAGAGAATAGGACAGACCTCTGTGTAGAATTGCGGAGGCCTTGACAGTTCAGTGTAATAGTTGTTAATAATGACGGTGACGTAGTCATTGTAAAATGGAAAAGAACGAGACAAGGATAAAGTCGAAAGAGACAGACAAAAATGTCGTAAAAAGAAGGGGAAAGATGATTAAGGGGAGGAGCCCCCCTGGGTGGGAAGCACCGCCGCCAATTTGAACAGAGAGTCCGCGGTGCGTGCTACCGCACTTGCAGGCTCATTGAGTACCACTTGATGTAGATTGGAGTGGTTCTTTATCAGCGAAAGGGTCACCTGCTGGGGGGCAGGTGAATTAGGCATCTCTGCTTCGGATACCGTAGCAAGGGATGCATTCTCATCACTTGAATAATCATCCTCGCAGAAGTCTGGGTGATCATTCGGGTCGAGCGGGTCCTCATCGGAACCCTGTATATTGTCATCATCGTTATCGTTGCTATTGGTTAGTGTTGAATGTCCATCTTCCGTCTCATTATCTCCATCCTCGTCCGTAGTCCTGGTAGTCTCGTTGTCCATGTCCGTTTCGTTATCTTCATCGTCGTCATCATCGTCAAGCTCGTCATCGTTGTCCTGGGGGAGAGGTGTAATCTCCGGATGGGAGTCCGCGTGATCCCTCTCCGTCGTGGGTGCAGGAACCGCCAGCTCACCACTCGATTGTTCCTCAGGAACGCCTGACCAGGAGCACTCCCTGTCCGAAAGCTCGTCAGTCTCGGCAGGCGTAGCGCGTTTCTCGTCCGGTTGTGGTGACTGGATGGGGGAACGGCGTCGCTTCCCGCGTCGTCGAACCGGGCTAGGAGGTACGGTCACTGGACGTTCATCGTCATCAACAGTGCCGCCCCCCCCAGAAGGGGCAGAAGGGGCAGAAGGTACCGGGGCACCGGACGCGCAGTCAGGAGCTGACTGGATAATATTAGAATGTGATGGGGTGGATGGCCCATCGGCACTCTCGGGGGGAGGAGTGTGCGGGAGATTCCTCCCTGCTACCGCCGCATAGGAGACTAGCGGCCGCGTTGGAGCAACAGGTACTGAAAGAGCTGCAGCATTCTCTGTGGTATTGCTGCTATTAATAGCAGTAGTACTGGTGTGGTGAGTTTGAGAGGCTGGGCAGTCAGCGGTGACGTGCCCTTCCTTATGGCATTTGAAGCAGACCTGTCTTTGCCCACTGTATTTTATAACACACCAGTGGCAGGCAATCCGCAGGCGAGCAGGGATGTTAGCGGTGATTTTCATCAGCACATTATGCTCCCCAGTGTATATGTTCTCGTGCACCACCGATTTCATCGTTTTGATGCTGCCGTTGTAAGGGGC